ATATTGTATTCGTGTGTGTGTGTGTGTGTGTGTGTGTGTGTGTACATTTCTCTAAAACCTATGCAGATCAGAGTAGGTCTTGAGGACAGGGAAGCCACTGTGCCAAGACCCTTGGGTTTCTATGGTCTTTCCCATGACTTGAGGGTATCTTTTAATTGCCCAAGGGTTGGGGACTGGATGGCAGGTGGACTTCCAAGGTGGTCAAGATCAGTGTAGTACTTAGATTCTTCCAGAGGTGGCGTACTAGAGGGCCAAGGCAGTGACCACTGCTCTCAACTCCAAAGTCAGATTTTCTTCACCTGGGGAAAAAGGCAAAAATGAGAGGTATTTATTTATTCATTGTACACTTTAAGACCAAGTTCTTAACCAGTTTTCCTCATTTATCCTGGAAGGGGAAAAAAAATCATTTTATGGTGACAATATTACAGTACTTAGGATTCACCATCCAGTTTAAATAAATAGTTGTATTTTACCCGTACTAATTGTAATGATTATATGTTATTTTGTAGGAGATGGTGAAAAATTGTTCTAGGGGTGGGTCTTACAGATAATGAATTTACCTTTTTGTGTAATAGGTCTCTGCTTTTAATAAGCCTGCAATTTCCCCGTGGTCCAGCAAGAAAGATCCCAAATTGCATTTGGGAAGTGTCAAGGAAAATAAGCTTTCTCTCTAAAACGATGAATAATTTCAATTACTCCTCAGACTATCATTTTGGCCCATTAAACGCTTTCCCCATTTGCCATTCAGGCTGACATCAGGGGCTTTGCTATCAAAGAATATTACTGTCATCGCCTTTGTTGAAATGGGCCTTCCCTCTCCAGCTCCAAGGTCATTTTGTGCGGCCTTGGGAGGGCCGGTGGAAACAACAGCACTGCTTGTATTAATGGCATTTGGAAAAAGGCAGTGTGTTGGCCGAGGAAGAAATGCCAACTGGTGGGCCAAACTTCTGGGGAGTTCAGGCAAGTTCTCCATTCCTTGCTGGGCTGCCGTGCTCAAGGCTCGATTTCATCGGCTCTTGCAGGCTTCGTGCCGTACCTTAGCTGCCAGGGAACCTCCGGCGAGGATAACATGGACCGCTGCGTGGGGATCTTCCAGCGGAGCACGCAGCGATACAAAGAGCAGCAGGAGGAATTACGCCGCGCGGTGGCTGCCGCCCCCAAGCTGAAGCCCATCTGCTCCCAGGAGAAGCTCCTGCGGATCCTGTACCAGTACTTAAAGAAGTACCACCCCATGAGTCTGGGTACCTGCTCCCCAAGCTTCCCCTCGTCCCTGGTCCCCAGCACAGATCCTAGCAGGCCCCTGAGCTGCCAAGAGCATAGAAGCCCACATAGTTCCAAAGCCCCAGGAGTCGGTGCAAAATGGAAAGGCTCGGTTTCTTTTTTTCTTTCTTTTCTTTTTTTTTCTTTTTTTCTTTTCTCTTTTCTTTTCTTTTCTTTTTCTCTTTTCTTCTTTTTTTCTTTTCTTTTCTTTTCTTTTCCTTTCTTTTCCTTTCCTTTCCTTTTTATTCCTTTCCTTTCCTTTTCTTTTCTTTTTTCTTTTCTCTCTTTCTTCTTCTTTTTAATTTTTGCCCTAGGGTGCATGCACTTGCCAGAGAGACAGGAAAAGTGAGAAATCACCCCCTCCACACACATACACACCCCTTCATGGTACTGCCATGCCTCAATTCCTTCTCTTCCATTCTCCTCTTGGGATTTTGGGGACACAAACATACATGCCTCGTGTTTCTCAAGCTGCCAGTTCTGGGACTTGAACCTGGACTCAGCTATGTGAGATCCAGCGGCTTAAATGCCATGGCACCTGCTGACCCCAGCTAGGTTTCTTAAAACATGGAAAATACATTTCTAGGGCAGAGGGACACAGTGCTGGTTAGGAAGAGGCTGTGGTCTGAGAATTGAGACCCCTAGGCAAGTCCCAGCATATTTCAGGCGTCCGCATCTGGATCTGCAGCTGGCTTGTTCAGTTGCATTCTCTCTGCTGGGCACTGTGATTTCCCTAACCCCTCACAACCCTGTGAGGTCGAGACTGTTATCCCCATTTCAGCGATATCTCGGAGAAGTGAGGCTTTGAAAACTAGCGTCACGTGGCTGAAGTCAGAGCATGGACTCTGAAGTCAGACCTGGGTTTGAATCAGCTCCCCCAGGTACCCTGAGTGGAAGGGGTTTCACAGGAAACAAGAACAGCTAGCGCTGACGACATGTCTGTGTGATGTTAATAATCACAGCCATCCGACATAGATCTTTTATTTATTTATTTATTTTTCAGAGATTTTAGCCGTAGGGCATGTGCACTCGCTGGAAAAGAGAGACAGGAAATGAGAAATCAACCCCTCCTCACCCTAGGGTTGGTGACTCCGCAATCTCTTCTCCTCCATTCTCCTCTAGGGACTTTGGCACGCACGCACACATGCCCCACGTGAGTTTCATGTTTTCTGGGCTTTACATTTTTCTAAGCACTCTAAAGACTATTTGCATAAGAATTGGGGATCTAGCGGAGGTGAGGCCTGGGACTACTTGCTGTGTAACTTGGGGCAGCTTGCTTCCCTTCTCTGGGCTCCTGTTTCTTCATTTGGGAAGCAGATGCTCCTGAGGGTACCTTCCAGCTCTGCCGTTCTGAGACCCAGTGGCCTCATTTGGTTCATAGCAACTGGAGGAAGTTGGGGCAGGGAAACTTACCCAAGGTCACCCAGCCCCCAGAGTCAGCCACGGCCTGAGGCTGAGGGCAGGCCGGGTGCTGAGTGTGGGATGCCTTCTCCTAACTTGAATGCCTCTCTTCTCTTCTGGCCTCATGCAGATTGTCACAGAGGGCTGTCTGAAGCTTTTTGATTCATCTGAGATCTTTTGTTTGGAGAGATTTTTGCTACAGGGCACTTGTGCTCCTCCTCAGAGAGACAGAGAAAGTGAGAAATTGCTACTCCCACCCAGAGGGGATGGCCATGCCACAGTTCCTTCTAGTTCCCTCTCTTCTCAGGATGTGGGATACACACACACACACACACACACACACACACACACACACCTCACATGAGTTTCAAGCTACCAGGTCAGGAACTCAGGCCGCAGCCACCATGTGAGAGTCCAATGCCTTAACTGCGTTGTCATCTGCGGGTCCCTAATTTGAGATCCTTGAAGAGCAAACACTTGGGAGTCAGGCAGTGCTGGGTTTGGAGCCTGGAGCTAGCACTCCCTGCCCGTGTGACCTTGGCCGTGTCGCACACCTTGAAGGGCTCACTCTTCTCCATACAGAGGGAACAGCGTCACCCGCCCCTTCTGGTGTGTGAGTGAATTAAATGAGATACTGTTTGTCAAGCCCTACCACGTTGCCTGGTACAGAGAATCAACCAGTCCATGCCCTTAGTGAGTTTATAGGCCTGGGGCGTCGCCTGGGGCAGCAGTTGGGGTGCACTGAGGTTGAGAGCACTGCCCACTGCATGGCTTTCCAAAGCCCCCAGGAAGCGCGTGGCCTTTTACAGAATGCAAATACGTGAAGAAACCCCTCACGGAGCCCCCGATCCCTGGCTGGGCAGGCTACGTGCCAAGAGCCAAAGTCACCGAGTTGGGCTGTGCCATGAGGTACACTGTTATGGCTAGAAACTGCTACAAGGACTTCCTGGACATCGTGGAGCGAGCCAAGCGAGCACGCCTGAAGCCCTATGAGGAGTAAGTGTAGCTTGGTCCTGACCTCAGGCTGCAAAACCAAAAGGCGCAGACTTGGGCAGCGTTCACCAGCACCCTGTCCCACGCGCGGGCTGTTTTCGCGTCTGCTTCACTTGACAGAAGTCCTTGTTGGTAACTGCAAGGCCTTCCCCACAGGCCGCCCTCCACCCCTCACCTCTGCTCAGCATGCCCCAGCATCACTGCCTGAGGTCTTTGCTGGTTTGGAAGGGGGAGGTATAAAGCCCGTGGGGTCGCCTGTCCTGGCAGCAGCCAGGGAGATGAGGGAAGGCCATGAAAGGGGACACCAGGGCACTCCGCATGGTAGCTTGTATGGCCTCAGTTTTCTGTAAGAGGGATTATAACCCTTACTGTTAAGATAAAGAATAAGGATTAGAAATAAAGCCTACATAGTTTGCATTATTTGTATCTTTATTGTTAATAAAAGGAGTAATTCTAAGACTGTGTTCCTCCTTAGAATGTACGGGGTTAGCCTCACACAACCTCCCACTCCTTCTCCGAAAGCACAGCGCAGAGAGCTGCTGCCCAGATACCCGGATTTCTCTGTCCCAGGTAAGGGAGGATTCTTTCTTCCTTCTATTTTTTTAAAAGAATTATTTAACTTTATTATTTTTATTTATTTATTTTAATTTGACTAGAGAGGGACAGAGTGAGAGAGAGAGAGCGAACGTGAGAAAGCAAGCTGCCAGGTCCAGGATTCAAACCACAGTCGATCACGTGGGAATCCAGTGTCCAGTGCCCTTAACCATCATGCCACCTGCCAGCCCACCATGTTTTCTTTGTAAAGAGGTTTTTGGTCTAGGGCTTGCTGGGGGGGGGGGGGGGGAGAAACAGAAGCAAAGTGAGAAATCCCCCCTCAGTGGGGATGGACATCCACCAATCCCTTCTCCTCCGTTATCCTTCTGGGATCTTGGGCACACACGCACATGCGCCCAGCGTGATTTTCAAGCCACTGGATCCAGGACTTGAACTGTGGTCAGCCATGTGGGAGTCCAAGGACGTAACCGTCACACCATCTGCTGGCTTACTCCCTACTATTTTTGAAAAGGAGATGAAATGCGTGCAGTAGCCTCTCTGCTGAGCGGGGCCTGCAGCTCATGTGGATGGTTTCTCTCCCAGGTAGAACCTGTCCTGTCCTTGCCAGACCCCTGAGAGAGGACCCCAGAGCTCCAGTGATGTGTGCTTGTGCTCAGTGGCCACATATGGCAGGCAGTGGGAAAATTTATCTGGAGCCACTGTCCTCAGCCACGCATGCAGAAGGCTAGCGATGTCAAGTCTCCTAAGGAGAGGAGGGCCTCGCGGGATTCTTACGTCAGCATCAGTCCCACTGTCACACCACGGGCAATCAGGAAATCTATTAACAGAAAGTCTTTAACTGCCGCCTACACCCTATAGTGGTTGACAATAGCATGTCGTTAATGCTAAATCTTATGTTGTCATGTGGGAATAAAGAGGACACTTCTCAGCAAGCTGAAGGCTTTTGTGTTCTTCCCCCCCATTTTATGTCAGCCTTGAGAAAGCCAAGTGGGGCCATCTCTTCCTAACCCCCAAGGTGACATTGTGCAGCCACACTGATCCCTACATGAAGCCCTCGGCCGGCTCTCCAACCAGTCAGTCCCTGTCATGCAGTCTACGTCATGGCATGACATGCCCCCAACAATGACATGGAGACCATGCCCACCCTAGTCCTGCTATGCACAATCCTCATGCCCAGAAGGATCCAGTTGGCAGACACCAGCATTGTGAGTCTGCTAGGGCTGCCGTAACCTAGTACCCCAAACTGGGTGCCTGGACAACAGAGGTTCATTGTCTCACAGTGCTGGAGGCTAGACGTCCAAAATGGGGGTGTGATCAGGCCAGGCTAGCTCTGAAGCCTGTAAGAGAAACCTCCTTGCGTCTTCCTGGCCTATGGCAGCTTTAGTATTCCTTGCTTCGTAACTCCAGTCTTCATCACTGTCTTCTCCGTGTGTCTCTGTCTTCACGTGGCCATCTATGTACAAGGACATCAGTCAGACTGGATTAGGAAGCCCTTCCCCTACCCCAGAGTGCAGTATGACCTCGTAGTGATTCGTTACAGAGACATGGACCCTGTTTCCAAGTGAGTGACATTCTGAGACACTGAGGACTAGGACTCCTGTCTTTATGCAGGACACAGTTCGACCCATCACACCGGGGTATATCTTGCCACTGATAGCACTCCCTGGCCCCTCACTGGGTAGCCGCCACCGCTCAGAAGAAATCAAATGCAGCTCCCAGGGGGAAGAAAGCTCAAAAAGATGGAGCAAGCTATCCCTGGGAGTTTCCCCCAAGGGAAGAGTTTTACCAGGGCTCCTAAGTTTCCACTTGGAAATCAGGAGGTTGGAGAACTCTGAGAGAAAGTTTACCTCTTTGTTTTCAAAAACCTCCAAATGAAATTCAGTATTTCCTACTTTGATGAACGTAAGCAAAAGCAATAGGCATCCTATCACCTTAGACAGATAGAAATCACAGGTATTTCCATAGCACGTGACACTTTTTGCAGACAGCTTGAAATAAGGTCATCACCACCATGTAATCATAGTTGTTCTTAAAGCTGTATGTCTACGTTCTAACAAATTGCTACTCCATATAGGAATAAAGAAAACTATGGCTAGTTTATAAATTTGCTCTTTTTGATATTATTTCAACATGTAATAGTTTCCTTTGTAACCTCATAAATCTTACTTTATAAAATGGATGTTCTTCTAAGGGGCCCATGGGTTGCAGATGGCAACCAGGTCTCAGGCACAGAAATGGCTAAGAACCCTTGTTGAAAAAAACAACCAAGTAGTGTGTAAAGGAGGACTATCATACAAAGCAGTCCCATTTCTGAAGGATTTAGGTTATAGTACATCCCATTATTTGAAAATGTTGTGATGGGGGCTGGCAGGTGGCGTGGTGGTTAAGGTGTTGGACTCCCACATGGCCAACTGCAGTTCGAGTCCTGTACCTGGAGGCTTGCTTTCTCATTTTCCCTTTCTCTCTCTCTGTCTCTTGTGAAAATAAAATAATAATGATAATAATAATAATAAATGGAATTAAATAAATAATTCTTTAAAAAATTATGTGATGGAAGAAAACATATGAAAATGGCAGGTCATAAAACTTCAACAGCTGCAATGATGATATGGATAGTAATGTCTTTGTCTTATCTGATATGCATGGTAATTATACTGGAAAAAGAAATGTTATACACTGTAAAGATATATGTGATTAAATGTTATATAAAAAGTAAATAAGTAAATAAATTCAAGAAAAAATGTCGACAGCAGCAAACCTATGAGAATCTCTCACACACAGACTAATCCTATTTTTCTTTGTCTGCTTAAAAAAAGGGGCAAACACTGACCCATAATAATAGTGACCATTTGGGTGATGGTTCTATTGGTAGTTTTTATTTTCTTTTGTGTTGTTTCCAATTTCCCACAGCCAATAGATATTGCTTGTATAATCAAGGGGAAATGTTATTTTTTTAAAAAAAATCTTATTTGGGACCAGCAGATGATGTAATGGTTACATCACTGGACTCCCACACAGTCAACTGCAATTCAAGTCCCGAACCTCCCCCCACCCCCCGCCCCGGTGGCTTTAACCTCATGCCAGATGTGTGTGTGTCTGCATGCCCAAAATACTGAGAGGAGATGAGAAGGGATTGCGATGTGTCCATCCACCCCGAAATGGGGGGGGACGATTTCTCACTTTCTGTCTCTCTGGCAAACACATGTGCCTTATAGCAAAAATCTCTCTTAAAACAAAAAACAAAAAACCTTATTTGAATCCACTCAAAGTTTGTTTTATTTTTTGTTTCTTTCTTTCTTTTTTTTTTTTTTTTTTAGGTTTTTGTCAAAGGGCACATGTACTTACCAGAAAGGAGAGAGACAGAGATTCAGAGAGGGAAATCATCCCCCAGTGGGGAAGGCCATGTTGTAATCCCTCCTCCTCTCTGGATTTAGGGCACACATGCACACAAGCCACGTATGATTTTCAGGCCTCCAGGTCCAAGACTCAAACCATGGTCGGCCATGTGGGGGTCTAGCACCTTAACCACTACACCAGCTGCTGGCCCTGGCTCTAAGATATTTTAATATTATAGAAATGGTATGTTTGAAGGAAAAGAGCCACATCTAATAGAAGGTAGCGGGCTTTGTCTTCAAAGGGCTGGAGCACAGCTTGGTGTGTAGTTGAGATTTTTTTCCCCAGCTTTTTAAAAGCCGTAGAGGAGTGACCCCACAATCTCAGAAAGGAAACCAGAGGATAGCTCTCCTACCTGCCCCAGGCAGTGTGGCCCGGTCTGCTAGTCTCCTGCTAGCCCCTCAGGACTAAGGAGTATGGAGGGCATGTTGTCTGTCCCTCCTCCCCAAACCACAATGTTTTTAGAAATGGCTGCTTGGTTATGGGGGTCTCTGCCCATGAAATTAAGGAGGCACCAGGACTGAAACGACTCATCTTACTCTCATCCATGGGATCTTATCATGCATCCATAGTTAAGTCATTTAAAAATTCATCTTGGGGACCAGCAGTTAGCGTAAGGGCTGTGTCGCTGGACTCCCACGTAGTCGACTGCTGTTCGCGTCCTGGACCCAGTGGCTTAAAACTCACTCCGGGCACGTGTGCCAAGAGGAGAATGGAGAAGGGATTGCGGTGTGGCCATCCCCGCTGCGGGGGTGATTTCTCGCTTTCTGTCTCTCTCTGTCTGTCTGGCAAGCGCACGCACCTTATAGCAAAAACTCCCCCCCCCCCAAATAATTCATTTTGCAGTAGCTTTTTAAGCATGGCTTGATCTGAAAAACCAAATCCCCCTCCAAAAAAACACAGCCCAGTGACAGCAGTAACAAAATTGAAGAAACACAATTCAAACCATCTTTAGTAGTATCTAATTCTTCTACAACTTTAGGATTAAGATGACCAGGTTCACCGTGCAAATCTCTAACTCCTTTTGTTTAAGCAGTTCCGTATTGCAATTCTTTTCTTTAATCTTTATCCTTTCTATTTCTTCCTAGCCTATAATTTTTCGAGCACTGCCTGTCGGGGGTGGAGGAGTGGAGAGGTGATTTTCCCGCTCAGCCGTAATTATCATTATTAGTACAGGCTGCATCCTTAATGAGCTCATTCTTGCTACTAAAAACAATTCTATTACCTGATAAGACAAAATTCCCTGGGCCAATTAGGCCCTGGGTCGGGCAAGTTTGACTTCCCTGGCAATTAAAGTGCTCCTTAGAAGACTTTCTCTCTCTGCAAGAATTGACAGACCGCCGGAGGCTGGCACTGGGGGGAGATGCCAGGGTTCTCTGTCCCCATTCCCTATCCCACAGCGTGGTGACCAGCTGGCTTTGAAGAGCTCAGTCACGGCTTTCACCCAGCTGTGACGTGTGTGGCCAGGAGCCAGACTCCCTGGGTTCTTATCTCAACTTAGCTGTTCTTCAACTGCGTGACTCTGGATGCTTCCCTTAACCTCTCTGAGCATTCTATTCCTACTATTTTTTTTGTTTAAAAAGAATTATTTATTTAATTTTACTTATTATTATTATCTTTCGATTTGCTTTAGGGCATGTGTGCTTGCCAGAGAGAGACATAGAGAAAGAGAGACAAAGAGAGAGAAGGAAAATGAGAAAGAAGCCGCCGGGTCTGAGACTCGAACTGTGATTGGCCATGTGGGGTCCAGCAAGTTAATCACCACGCCCCCTGCTGGCCCCACATTCCTACTTTGTAAAATGAAGATCATGAAAGAATCTGCCCAGTAGCACGGGTATGAAGACGACAAGACTAGGCAGGTAAGCCCGGCCCACGCGACTCAGTAAATATTGTTACTCTCAGTTAACACCGGGATAAGGAGCCCTGGGAAAGTGCCGGAGCTGACATGGCTATGGCAGCACAGCGAGTTATTGACAGCGCAGGGTTCAGAACCCAGAGCTCCTGCCCCTAAAGGAGTCCTCTGGTTACCACTGTATTTTTCTTCCCGGGATCGCACCACGTGCGGCAGGCGGAACAGGTAGGAGCAGCGGTCAGTGAGGGCACCACAGTAGCGGCCAGTGAGCACTTGCGCCTAAGCGGTTTCATGGGAATAGCTCTCCCCGCTAGAGGGCACATGTCTTCACCAGACAAAGACAGAGGAAGAAAGCACCCTGCCCCTCAAATGGGGTGTGGTCGTGCTTCAGTTCCTTCTCTTCCATTTCTCTGCCCTGTCAGGATCTGGGGACACACATGCACCTGACACGTTTAAGCTGCCCAGGCCAGAAGTTGAACTACATGGCCAGCTCTGTAGGATGATCTGCTCCCTTGACCACCAGGTCATAAGCCTGAGATAAAGTTACTATAAATATTTTCATTTTACAAACTGAGGCATGTAACAAGTGAGTAATTTGCTCCGGGTTACACTGGGCAGTCTGAGGCCTGCATCTGTACCCTAAACCTTTCTGTGAGTCTTCTCTGAGGCCACAGAGACAGTAACATGAACTACTTTTTTTCTTTA